CACAAGCCACTGCTACAGGGCAGTGGTGATCAATCACTCTGCTCTAGGTAGCTTCACATTTAATGGGTTCCTCTGTTCCAGTTTTGATTACAAAGTTTGAAGAAGTATGCAGATAGATGGTAGATGATGTGGGGAAAATGGATCAGGAAAATGATCAAAAGGACATAAATTAAAAAACAAAAATGATCGAAGTAACTGGGATAAATATGGAAGAAGAAAATAAGATTGTTTAATAATATTGTTTAATTGATGTATTTTCAATACATCAATATTGGCTATGACTAGGGTGTCCACTGTATCTTCAGGGAATGGCAAAGATAAATAAAATTACAGTGTAATAAGAAAGACTGAAAATGAGGCACACAGTAAAGCACCACTAAGCTTTGATGAAAATGTGGAAGTCTAGCTTTCACAGTTATCTTGACTTAAATGATTTTGATTCACTATACAAGTATACTGACAGGTGGGAAATGTAAATTCAAGCCCTTCAGAGAACTACCACTGAGACACCATTTTATCTTTTAAATATTCTACTTGTAATAAGCCACTTAAATTGTCAACTAACTACCAGGAAAAATCTCTCCAATACAGAATGCTTTAACTTCTGTTCCAAACTTATTTTCAGTAGAAAGTTTTTTCACTGATGATTGATATTTTCATTTTTGCGATTAAAACATCCTTAGGTTTCTTCAGTAAATATTATATTATACTATGCAGATACTTAAACTATATCTTAAAGCCCACCTCAACTATATACTTTAACATACTTCTACTGGATAAAAAATTGTTCTTACCTCCATGGGCAGAAAGGAAGAGCAGTGGATATAATGGCCTTTATAACTATTAATATCAATAGCATTTTTAATGCTGAAAACTAACAAGTAATTACAGATAAATGGTAAAATAAAGGTGAGATTTTAAAATTTTCTCTACTATACCTAGCTAAAAATGGTGCTTTTGGATGTTACTAATTGAATTTCAGAAAAGAGAGAACAAAGGTGTGCCTCTCAGTTATCTCAATTACAGAGCTCAAAAAAACAAAAATAAAAAAAAAAAACACTTATCAGAGAGGAAATTATCTTTGAAGACCAGGGACAGAAAGTTTATGTTGCTAGGCAAACTCCCACAGCCATATACAAAGACATTGCATATATATAATGTTTCTGAAAGAATTAGCTTAAGATAATGATAATGAGGATTTAAAAGTGAGAACATTAACATGGAAAAATAGATTAGAGATGTTTCTTCCATACTGAAACATTCTAAGAAAGTCTAGGAAAATTTCAAAGTTCACATCCATTGAACACAGGCTAGTAACCTACTAACTTCTGAACAAAAATAAACACTTAAAATGTAATATCCATGTGTATATGTGATATGTATAGTGCCTATACTTGTCAGAGTTTAATAGTTTTATATCTATACATACATTATATATATATAGAGAGAGATTTAAAGAATGCTGAAGGTCTGACAAATGTCTTGCAACTTGAAGCATTGTCTGTAACATCAGCAACATCTGGGGTATTGTTAGAAATTCAACAATGCCTTAAGCCTATTTAAGCAGAATCTGCATTTTAGTATGATTCTTAGGTGATTTATATAAGGTGATTTACTTAAGGTTTGAGGATCATTAGTCAAAATCACCAGTATGATTTTTCTTCATTGTTAGAGGATGGTAAATGTGTTTCAAAGCCATATTTTTACATTCTTAATATATATAAAGTATATTTGATGATTCTAAAAGTTTTAAGTAGATTTTGAGTTCTTATCAGATAGCAAAACACTCCAATAATTGTTAAAGTTTTTTAAAATGACAAACTACTCCTTTATTAAAACAAATATATGATCAAGGTGGAAACATAAAACTGTTCAGTATAACACCATAATTGTCATTTATTTAATATGTATTTTAATCTGAAATGGTAAGTTATCCTGACTTCATATGGTATATGCATAAAAATTAAGTCCATTATTATTCTAATAATGGATTAAGAATTAAAGTTTAAGAAATCTCCATGATAATTTTATTAGCATTAAACAACTTTATTTCTCATGTGCTCTTTAACTTCCTTGAATCGGGATTTAAACTCTGGGGAACTCTCAGCCTTCAGGGTACACTGAGTCAGCTGAGGAATTTTCCCTCCTGAACTTAACTTTTTAACTCAGGTTTCCCAGGGAAGAGGGGTTCTGTCTCTCCTCCACCTTGCTCCACCTCCAGGGAGAAGACAGTGTTCTCAACAATCAAGAAACAAACTCCACTGATACTAAGAAGTAAAGAGCTAGAGGGACAAAAGGAAGCAAAAGTCTAGATAGCCACAGCCTGGGTGGTTAGTCTTGCTTAGGAATTCCGCTCAGGTAATGTCCCAGTTAGGAGCATAACTGTTTCTACTGGGAATGATAAAAATGCCATGGTTATTAAAACCTTTAATCACATAAAATAAGGATTACTTGCTACCTCAGGACTGTCAGAAATATTACTGCTTCCCATCATGCACTTAATTCTATTGCCACATTGATGTTACTGGACATCTATGTGTATATATGGATACACACTTACTCAAACAAATATATATATGTGTGTGTGTGTATCCATATATACATATGTGCTCGTTTCTTAATAAACTTCACAGAAACAAAGCTTATAGAAAACTACAAAAACATCCCAAAATCTTTACAATTTTAAATAAACAGTAGAGACATGTTACAGCTGTTACAGCTGAACTGAAAAATCTCTAAGCTGAATCAGATGTTTTCAAAACAGGGATCAGAGCAACCATTTAAAGGTATTTATAAGACCATTACACATTGATGCTAGTGCATAATAAAGTCTAAGACAACAAATTAAGGAAAAGATCTCTAAGATGAGAGTGCCCTCACCTCTTGCACTGAAATAGTGCAGGTTGTCTCAGGAGTTTGGCCTTGGTTCTGAAGTAGGGGAATGTCTTGTGAAGAACATAGGAAGAGAGAACTCTTTCAGCATGGGTTTAACATCACATGTAATCCTAAGCGAGAAGTTCGATATCGTAATCATAGAACCAAAACTTAGTGACAGTCACATGCTACAAATCATTTCCCCTGGCTCCTATGTCCAGTGAGGGATCATAGGTATTCCAGCATAGAGGAGGGAAAGAAAAAGGTAGAGACTTTGAAAACTGGGGTTCACTGTACATATGATTATCATAAAAATTCTTACTGACAGACATAAGTAAGAATTAGGAAATTCTCCATCTCTAGAAAGACATCATTTATTGCTTTAAAATCTCATTATGGAACATTCCCAGCCTGGCCTATGTCAAAACCAACTTCTCATAGTTATTTCCCATATGGAGATGCTATTAACTTCTAAGTGGTTAAAAATGAATAGACTCATCATATCGAGTCTACCATTCCATCATATGTTGAAGAAAGTTTTTAAAGGCATCAACTTGATTAGATTGATCATAGGATGACATGTATTGAAAACTCTTTCTCACCTCTGAAATATTTTAAACCCTCTTCTGCTTCTATAAATAACCTAAGAAGGAAGACACAAGTTCAAGTACAGGATTTATTCATACTTGTGCTAAGAGGGGCATTGAAGAAACAGCATTAGTTAGCATGCAGACTGCCAGAGTAGTCCTAAGACCGCCATAGGCATAATATTTGGGTCAAACCAATGAGGTCAGTGTATTACAAATAATTTCTCCAAGGATCCCAAAATACTGGTCTCCCCATTCTCTTAATGAGCTAAGTTGATATGTGGTCCAGAAACTCTTCCACTGTTTGTATGGACATAGCTATAAATCCATTACAAGTGGAAGGGTGGTGTCTGCATACAGAACACTTGTCTGTGCTAAAAGAAATGATGCTCAGACACACTAGCCTGTAATATGTTTAAAATTAATTATTTTGTGTCATTTCCTTAAAAAGTTTTTGCTCTCTGATAATAAGCAATATAGTTTTTATTGCACTTAAGTTGCCTTTTGGTGAAAAGAAGGAAAAGGTGTACAAACTTAATTTTTCATGAATAGCCACATGATCATTTCACTTGTGAACGTAAATGTACAACATATATATCATGGCGTGGGATGTGTGCTATGCATCCACAAACAAACTTAATCATTAAACTAGAAGACCACCTGTTTCAAATTCATTTTGAGTCATAGATAATATAAGCTAGAAACACTTGCTCTACAATATTTAATTGTACTTGTCTCAATCAAGAATAACTATTACTATATTCTTAGATATAGAGATACAGAAAATGTTTTTCTTAATTTATGAGAGCTTTATACTGATTTATTGTTCAGAATATACTAGAATAAATTTAGTCTACTGTTAATATAGTTTTTCCTTTGTTTCTTGAAAACAACCAACCTATCACTGAAGAAACTACAACAGTGGATCTAATCAAACCTACTTCATATCTAAATCAAAACAAAATTCATAATTTGTTTTAGAAGGACGTATTGAAAAACTATATTGAAAACTGACTGATTTGATTCTGGATTTGCATGGCAATATTTGAAACTAGTGGTCTAAGTGAGACAGAAAGAATTACAACAGTCAGAGAAATACTAAAGTAATTCTTATGAAGATTAATTGCTGAAAGTAAAGAGAGAACAAGTAAGAATGAGTTTATGGAATCACTGTTGGTAAATTATTACTGAGTTAATGTTAATAAAATCAGGTCTCTTTGAAACATAATCATTTAAACTATTTTCATTGGCTTAAAAGAGATTGTATTCTGGTAGGTATATGTAGCACTGAAAATCTCCCTTAACATTTTTTTTTTAAGTCTGGAAAAAGTAAGTTCTCCTCCTTTTTTTCCTCAACAACTCAGTTTTATATTAAAGGCCAGGTAAAAAATTCCTGGACTAGCTTATTTTTTAATAACATCACATATGCCATGGGGCATATTCTTTCCTTTCCCACCACCATCGATCTTCCAAACAAAACATAAAAACATAAAAAAAAAATTCTGCCTCCAAGTAAATGATGAAAAACCCCAAACCTGCCCCTGTAATAAAACAAAATGATCATGAGCAAAGAATTCAACAATCTTTTACAAGGTTGATGTTACTTCACGTCAATCACTTAACTCATCTAAATGAATGCTTCATGAATGCTGAGTGCTCCCGTGGCTCCAGAGAGAATCCAATAGAAAGAACTTAAGTAAAGCATCTCAACTATTTTTGCCAGGCAGTGGAAGAGCTTGGTAAATGCGGAAATGCGTGTGCATCCTCCTCTGAAGTGGATAGCTGTTACACATCGCTGGGTGACCGTGCTCTCTGGGAGAGACTGGACGGGATGCAGCCACAGCAAATGAGGCAGAGGGCTTTCTGGATCTCTTGGTTTCTGAAAGCGTATATGACAGGGTTGATAATGGAATTGTAGGTGGCGGGCAGGAGGGTGGCGTAGGTATAGATGGAGGGGTAAGTGTAATCAGCTATCAAGGAATAGAGGGTAAAAGGCATCCAGCAAGCAGCAAAGGTCCCCAGGATGATGGCCAGGGTTGAGACTCCTTTCCGGGTGGTCACGTAGTGTGAGGTGGCCAGGAAGTGGTGCTGCAGGGCTATCTGATGGGCGTGCCTCATGACTATCTTACAGATCTGGATGTACAGTTGAAGCATGAGCGCAAACATGAAGAGGAAGGAGACCGAGAGGATGGCCGCGTTGTTCTTGGTGAGGGGTCTAACCACGCTGCAAGTGGACTCATCTCTGAGGCAGTTCCAGCCCATGACAGGCAGCAGTCCCAGACAGATGGAGGTCCCCCAGAGCATGATGAGCATGACATAGGTAAACGTGACCGTCCTCTCCGAGTGGTACGTCAGAGCATAATACAGCGAGAGGTACCGGTCAACAGTGATAGCCAGCAAGCTGCAGACAGAGGCAGAGAAAGAGGCGACAATGAGTCCGATCGTGACCAGCTTGGTGGCTTCTGACTGAAGCAGGTAGGCAAAAACAAAATTGATGATGAGTCCAATGCCCGCCAGCAGGTCCGCTAGGGCCAAGCTGCCAATCAGCAGGAACATGGGTGCTCGCAGGCTGGGGTTATGGAATATGATAAGGACCACAATGGCATTTTCACAGGAGATGAGGGTTCCTGAGGTGCACAGGACAATATCCCAGGGGTTGATAGAGAGCTCTGGCTCTGGTTCCACTACTGGAACCTGGGAGGAGACAGCAGCCGAGACGTTCTCCGCAGCACCGGCATCTAAATAATCCCGAGGCAGCCCGCTTAAATTGACCTTCAGGTCTTCATTCATTTTAACCCCTGTCCTCTTCAACGAAAAGACAGGCTTTTTAATTTTAATGTTTAGACACAGCAGGATGACAATTCAAGATCATGCAAAAAAAAAAAAAAAAAAA